GGCTTAATTGTTCATTTTTATTCATTTTCTGTGCAAGACGTCAAATTCTGGAAATTGCCCAAAAAAGACAGAATTCTACAGTTTTTTTTATTTTCGGAAACAAAGATGGCTGGAATTTGGATTTAAATTAAACTCAAGTTTAGGATAATATTTTAAACATTATATTTTATCTTTGTATTTTAGTTTAAATAGGTTTAAGTATTTTAATTAAGTTTTAGGATATTATTTTTATATTTTATCTTTGTTTTAGGTATTTTAGTTTAAATAGGGTTTAGTATTTTAATTAGGATTTAGAATATTATTTTAAATATTATTTTTTATAGGTATTTTAGTTTAAATATTTTTAAGTGTTTTAATTAGGATTTAAGATGTTTTAGCTTGTTTTTAGGAATTTGAAGGCTATAAATACCCTCTAAGGGTGAGACTAGAAAGATATCTCTCTCATCTGAGAATAAAATCTTCTTTTTCTTTCAAGTCGAAGACTGAAACGAAGACTCAATTCCGAACGTGAGAATTGTAAGGTACTTAAATCGCTTCGGATTTTTCTCTATGTTTCTGAGCTTACTTTTCAAATCTAAACGATTCAACATTGGTCCAGATATTGTTAAGGTTAATGTTTGAAGAAGGATTTTCTTATTAAAGCATATTTGACTTCCCGAGAACACATTTAGCAAAATTGTTTGCTAAGAGGAAATTGAGATCGGAATCAGTTATTGTTTAAACGACATAATCCGAGTTGGCAGAAAAGAATTGTCCTTGTAAGTCGACGTGAATCTTGAAGTAAAAATCTGTTTCGATGATCCGAGGAATTGGAGGCAAAGCTGAAGTCTAAGGCTACTTTCACTATAAGTTTTCTTTATCCTAATTTATTTATTTTATTTATTTTTTTATTTCATTTTTTCTTATTATACTTCTTTAAATAATTTAAAACCCCCCTTTTATCTTTATTACTATTTTTAATTCATTATTTATTATTTTATTTTTTTAATTTATAATTATTTATTTTTTATACCTTTTTAATTTTACCTCGAATTCTATCTTTTCCTAAAATTAAGAAACAGTTTTACTAAATCACAAAAACCATAGTCCCTGTGGATCGACCCTGCTTCTCTATACTACTTTCCTTTTCTATTTATTAAAGAAGCCGAAATTATTTTGATAACAAAACGATGGTTATCAAATTGGCGCCGTTGCCGAGGACTAACGGCAAGTACTGATTTATTTTTCTAGTTTTTTATTTATGACCATAAGAAACCCAGGTGAAATAGTAGATTTAGATCTGGAGATCGAAGCACGAGCCACTACTAGAAAAAACCCTTTTAATGACGCGTATTGCGCATCATCTATGGGTGCAGATGACACACAAATGGGCATCATTGAAGCTACCGTCATAAATCTCAGATGACGTACAATTGTGTCATAAATCTATGACGCGCATTGCGCGTCATTGAAGTTTCCGTCATAAATGAAGATGACACACATTTGTGTGTCATAAATTTATGACAGCAGTTATGACTTATATTGCGTGTCATTGAAGCACACGTCATTAAAAAAGATGACACACATTCGTGTGTCATGATTGTATGTCGTAAATTATATATATAGATACATATATGTTGAGTTAATCGATCGATGGAATCAACCAAGAGGGGGGTGAATTGGCAATAAAAATTTTGGTGGAAGCTTTTGCAGAAAATTGAAAGTAATTGCACAGCGATTTACAGTGGTTCGACTTTATCAACCAAAGTCTACGTCCACTACCTTAGCTATCCACACTAAGGATTTTCCAACAAATTCACTAATTTGTTCTTTCTTTTGAGGCCAAAGAGATAACCTTACAACTCCCTCAAGAATATACCCCAATTCTTGAGAACACTCTTTTCTCAAAGAGAAGATTACAAATTTGCAAACTTACAAGAAAAAACCTCACAAGGCAAATATGTTTGCACAATTCTAGAACAAAGAAAGAACACTCAAGAACAAATACAATTGAGCACAATAAGTGTTCTTGAAAGCAAAATGAATATTGAATGAAAAATAGGCTTTAAAATGCTCAAACTTGAGGTTTGATGCTTTCTCTTTGATTCTCTCTTGATTTTAGTTGCTTAATGTTTCTTGTTGTTGATCAATGGCTTCTAAGCTTGTTTAAATACACCTTCAAATGATTCTAAACGTTGGGGATGATTAGTGGAGTCAATAGAGCAGTTATTGTGTGAAAACAATTAATAAAACTGGTTAGGAGCGTCGGTGCATCGATGCATGATCATAGTGCATCGATGCATCAGTGTAAAATTCAAATATTTTGACCGTTGTAACACTTAGTGCATCGGTGCACCAAGTGTGCATCGATGCATAAAATGCATTTGATGTTTGAAAATAGCCTGAGTGCATCGGTGCATTGCTTGTGCATCGATGCATGAAATGCATTCGATGTTTTAATAAAACCCAAGTGCATCGATGCATAGAGAGTGCATCGATGCATGAAATGCATTCGATGTTCAATTTATTCAATGGTGCATCGATGCATGGATTGATGCATCGGTGCATGCCTTTGAAAAATTGATTTAAGGCTTGATTTTGGTTCAAAAAACTTTATGAAAGTACAAATCACAATTTTACACATTTAGTAAAGATTAAAATTGATCTTGAAAGACTTAGAGTAATAATTTGATATCCGATTAATTAATTCGAATATACCTTAGAAAATCATTTGTAAAATCTTAAAATTCATTTAACTTAATTTGTTATATCGAAATATCAAAATGTTTTCAACAATATATATATATATATATATATATATATATTGTAGATTGACAAATAATCAAACTAAATCACATTTAATGCCTCATAATACTAAATATATATATCATATTATATATAAGCAATCCATTTGCATACAATATATTAACATTAAGTTATCAAAAATATTTTAATCATATGTCGATACAAAATATCACGACATAATAAAGTTTGCCACATAAGATACCCATTCTTTGTGAATATCATCAATATCATCATCCGTGTATTCTTCCTTCTCATCGCCAACCTAAGTAAAAAATATGAAATAAGTATATAATTTATACTTATTTAAAGTGAAGTATATAACTATCAAAGAGTACTAAAATGACCAATTTTACATATGCATTCTTTGAAGCATATGTAAAAATTCATTTTACACATTTAATTAGTAAAACTTCCCATATAAATTATATACATTATCACGGCATGAATTCATAGTTTTCAGTCTTGCTAACAAGTACTTGCATTAATTTGTTTAGAATAACATCCTACTTCAAGTCCATATGATAGTTGTATGACTAATGTGTATGTATGATATGACAGATGTGTATCAGAAAAGTTTGCTTACATTCTTATTGACCAACACTTCAAGTCTGTTCTCGACTATCCCTTTCATGAACTTACAAACATAATATCCATACTCGGTACCTCCCGACTGACGAGGACACTACAAACAGTTTACAATAAATGATTAGTCAAAATAAAAACTGCATCTTTAACCTTGTAAATGAACTCCTCCTCTAGTGGAAACGGTAGTAAAGCGTGAACTGATGACACACAAGCAAGTAAAATATTTGTTCAGCTACTAACAAAGTAACTTAAAGATCAGAAGCAAGAAATATACTTTAATTTGGATCTTAAAGTTCCACATGTTACAGAAAGAACTCACCTAGCAGCACCTTTTACACGTAAAAAGAAAACAAGTAATAAAAAATAACCAAGCTACACAAGTCATCCCTTTGTCCTGCATTACATGAGCCATCTAACAGAAATAAGTGATATCTTTATAACAAAATTTTTGGCAACAGTCCCAGTGAGAAGAGGTCCAGCAAACGGCAGAATCCATATGGCAAATATTATGCATCAAAACATCCAACCAGATAATGCAAACCAAATGAAGAAAATTGTCTGCGAACAGATAAAATAAATTCTATTATCCTGAAAGAAATAAGCTAGCAAACCCAAACAAAAATGTATTTAGGTTCTAGCACTTCCCATAAAAATAAAAATAAAATAAAAATCCAAAGGATTTCGACTAATTTTCTCTGCATTGAAGAAAAACATCTTGGAAAGATTAAATTCCAATGCAGAAGATATTGATGAATGAGTCATAAGCATTGGGACTATAGCCAATTACTTTAATATAAGACCACTACACAAACTGATAGAGAGCTGATATGACATGAAAGATAACATAATACTCACCCTTAAACATAGGCCCAACATATAGAACAAATATAAAATAATAGGCCTATCAAATGAACCCCCAAAATGAAAGCAACAGACAATTTTGGCATATGAAAATTTCAATCAAATCCAACTTGAAATAGGTTTTGAAGCTTAACTGTGGTGCAAGTAGGTATAAACACCAAAGACTAGTGATGTCGAATATTACTTAACCTCCATAAATGTCCCATCCTTTTTAATTAGTTACAGACAAGATATTGGATATTTGCAAGTTAAACTATAGGTCTCAAGAGTTTTGAACTTCACCAATTATTTAATATTTAATTAATAACTTCTTTCACATTATAATTGTTATTAAACCAAATAAACAGAACATACATGGAACAGGGGATGCATGAACACAAGTTATTGTCATCATCTACGTTACAAGGACCCCAGGGTGCATGTCCAAGACAGGCATGTGTGTCATGCGGGTACGGTCAGGTTTTGTAAGTTTTTCATGTATTTGGAGGATTCTTGAAGGTTATATCCCCTTATCTCTGTATCAAAAATGGGTACTTCAAGAAAAATTAAGAGTCCAACCAACATATACAGATAAAGCATTCGCTAGCTTTGTCTAATTCTTTACTCTTCTTCTTTGCTTTCCTTCTTTCAAAAGCCAATCGAGCATTTAGAAGTCTAAATTGCAATATTTTTGAAAAAACTAAGATTTAACTTTCATCGATAGTAAAACGCAAGAATTTACTTAGCATCGTAGAAAAATAAGCATTTAATCAATTAGAACATGTCGTATTTTACATCTTTTGCTCTATGAATTTTTTTTCCAGAATTAGCAACGCAATGTAATTGAAACTATACCAAATTTTACTTACAGCAGAACTTCTTCCCAGTGAAGTATCCAAGAAATCATCCAGCTGCTTCCTGTACTGCAACCATATCAATAAACACCCCCCAAAAAAATATTGTAAGTATATAAATTAAAAAAAAATTAAATTAGATTTGAAAAAAAAAAACACAAACCCTAGGCCAATTTCTGCTAAAATTCATAGAAAAAGTCCGACAACGTAGTCCAATCTCGAACTCCCGGTCAATTTCACGAGCACGGTTCATAGCCGATTGGACGACTGAGGAAAGTTGGCGGGAAATGGAGTACTGGAGGTCTAATCGTTCAGCGGTCTTTTTAGCTTCGAAAACGAATTGCTCAAAGCCATCGTTGGCGGTTCGCCAGGCGTCCTTCCAGGCCTCATCGGAGGCCATGCGGCGAGTGAAGGTGTCGAAGTCGCTCCTCCTGAAGGATTGGACTAATAAGGGGCGCCGAAGCTGAAGGAGACGAGGTTGCGGTTGAATCTTTATTGCGTGTCATGCCGTAGATGGCAGAGCTGTGGCCATAACTCAGAATGTGAAATGATGATTATGCAGTTTTTCTCGCATTTTAACTATTTAGGATTGCTTACGAATCCATTTTCTTTTTCTTTTTTTAAAAAATAAGCGGGAAAGTATGTATGTGATGAAAATTATGTATGTGATGAAAATTACGATGGAAAATTAAAAGACGACTTTTAGAGGTGACATATAATGAAAAGTGTATTCTGTGTGTTTGTTAAATTTTTTGGATTATAACTATTAAATATGACACACATTATTGTAAGTCATAAATCGTTCAGATTTTAAGAAACATGACATTTTTTATGACACATTTTTTGCAAGTCATAAATTAGCGTGTGTCATTAAAGGTATATTTTCTTGTAGTGAGCACGAAGAATCCACGCATAAATGCTTCGAGAAAAGAGAAAAAGACAAGAAGAACAAAAGCAAAGATCAGAAACATAATCAAATTCGGACTCTGAAGCAGACGCATACAACATTCCGATGGCAAAAGAAGAGCAAACGATCCGAGAACTAGCCACATCTCCTGTCATTCAGACGCCATTATGCATCGATTTTCCTAGTGGCAGGACTCCGTTTCAATTAAAGACATGACTTATTCATCTTCTTCCCACTTTCCATGGCTTTCCCACTGAAGATCCATACAAACACTTGTTGGAATTCCACATGGTTTACATTAGCATGAAACCACAGGGAGTTACCGAGGATCAAATTAAATTAAGAGCTTTCTCTTTAGCCGATTTGGCTAAAGATTGGTTATTTTATTTACCTCCAAATTCGGTTAATTTATGGGCTGATATGAATCGAATTTTTCTTGACAGGTTCTTTCCAGCGGCTAAAGCAAGCGAGTTGTGAAGGAGCATTCTTTTCATTCAGCAAAAGAACGAAGAAAGTCTTTATGACTATTGGGAGCGATTTAAAAAGCTTTGTGCTCGTTGTCCGTAACACATATTAAGTGAGCAAACGTTACTTCAATCCTTTTATGAAGGCCTTTTACCAATGGAGATGAAAATGGTGGATGCTGCCAATGAAAGAGCATTAGTCAACATGACCCCAACAACAGCAAGGGAATTGATTTCAACCATGACAGCCAACTCTCAACAGTTTTCAAGTAAACTTAGCCGACGGGTTCACGAGATAAGTACATTTTCCCTTGAAAATAAGTTAGATAAATTAACTGAAGTTGTTAATTCACTTGTCGCAGGAAAATTTGGAGCAACAAGAGCATGTGAGATATGCACAAAGCTAGACCATCCGACGGATTGCTGCCCGCTGATACAATAAGGAGGCAATGAAGAAATCAATGCAGTAGGGAACTTTCCAAATCCTCCACAAAGACAATACAACCCATACAACAATACTTATAATCCAAGATGGCGAGACCACCCAAACTCTAGCTATGCGGCAGATCAAATACCAATTTATCCTCCTCGACAGCAAACGCAAAAACCATCATTGGAGGAACTCATAGGGAAGCTAGCAATTTCATTAGAAAAGTTCATTGCATCCCAGGAAAAATCCCAAAGCGAAACAGAAACACATCTTCAAGAGTTAGATAACCAAGTAAGTCGACTAGCTCAAACTATGGGAAAATTGGAATCACAAGGAAGACTACCTTCTCAAACGGAGTTAAATCCGAGAAAGAATGTTAGTTCCATCATACTCCGAAGTGCAAAAGTTATCTCACCTGAAGTTCCAGCAGAAAAAGTCGCACATCAGGAAGAACAAGAGGACAAGCCACCTTAAAAAATACAAGGTACGTCTGACTCACATCTTTCTCTTTCCTCTCAAGAAATCATGCCACCACTCTTCCTATCAAGGTTGATGAAGCGTGATAAAAGAGCTTAAGAAAAGGAAATCTTAGAGGTGTTCCAAAATGTTCAAGTCAACATACCTCTTCTTGAAGTAATTCGACAAGTACCAACGTATGCTTGATTTTTAAAAGAACTTTGCACTACAAAGAGAAAATTAATGGGGCACGAAAAGGTAAATTTGGTAGAACATGTCTCTGTAATTTTTCAACAAAAGCTCCCACCAAAGATGAAGGATCAAGGTATGTTCGCTATACCTTGCAAAATATGTGACTTTAAAATTAAATGTGCAATATGTGACTTAGGAGCTTCAATCAATGTTATGACATTATCTATTTATAAAATGATTACCAACGAGCCTTTGAAGGAAACGGGAGTAACCATACAGTTGGTTGATCGGTCCGTTACCTATCCAGTGGGAATAATGAAAAATGTCTTAGTGAAGGTCGACGTATTATTTTTTTTCTACAGATTTCTATGTCATTGACATGTAACATGATAGGGCGGATACTTATTCCGAGGTACTTTTAGGCCGACCCTTCCTAAACACCGCACATACAAAGATCAATGTTAAAAGTGGTATACTAACAATGGAATTTGATGGTGAGATCGTTGAATTTGATGTTTATAAAGCAATTAAATGCCCTGATCATGTTGAAAGAATTAATTCTTTTGATGTTATAGATCTTTTAATTGATGAATATATTGAATCTAATCTTTCTTATAATCTTTCCAAGGATCATGAACTTTGCCACGAAGAGGAAGAAAAGGAGTTTGAAAATATTCATTCAATTAATTTTGATTTTTCTTTATCTTCCTCTAAAACTAAAATTTTACCTTATGTTATGCAGGCACCTAAGGTAGAATTGAAGCAATTACCGGAACATTTGAAATATGCCTTTTTGGGCGAAAATGGAACCTTACCGATGATTATCTCAAGTAAATTATCCGAATGAGAAGAGGAAGCTTTGGTAGCAGTGTTGTGCTATCACAAAGAAGCCATAGGATGGACCATTGCTGATATTAAAGGATTAAGTCCCTTGACTTGTATGCACAAGATCAAAGTCGAAGAAGGAGCAAAGCCATCACGTGAAGGACAACACCGATTAAAGCCACCGATGATGGAAGTAGTAAAGAAAGAAATTCAAAAACTTCTTGAAGCTGACGTAATCTATCTAATTTCGGATAGTAATTGGGTAAGTCTGATTCATGTGGTTCCCAAGAAAATGGGAGTCACAGTAGTCTAAAATAAAGAAGGGGGTTAGTACCAACAAGAGTTCAAAATGGATGGTGAGTTTGTATTGATTATAGGAAGTTGAACTCTCTTACTCGAAAAGATCATTTTCCTCTTCCTTTTATAGACCAAATGATTGAAAGATTAGCTGGGAAAACTCATTATTGTTGCCTTGATGATTTTTCAGGTTTTTTCCAAATCCCAGTAGCACCAGAGGACCAAGAAAAGATGACTTTTACTTGTCTCTTCGGTACATTTGCATATAGAAGAATTCCCTTTGGTCTTTGTAACGCACCAGACACCTTCCAAAGATGCATGTTAAGTATATTTTCATACTATGTGGAGAAGGGCATCGAAGTCTTTATGGATGACTTCACGGTTTATGGTAACTCTTTTAATGAATGTCTTGATAATTTAACTAATATGCTTAAAAGATGCTTAGAATATAGCCTTGTTTGGAACTATGAAAAATGTTATTTTATGGTTGATAAAGGGTTAATTTTAGGTCATATTGTTTCCTCTAAAAGGATTGCAGTTGATAAAGCTAAAACAGATGTTATACGCTCACTTGTTTACCCCACAACTGTGAGGGAAATTAGTTTTTTTCTTGGCCATGCAGGATTTTACCGCATGTTTATTAAGGACTTTTCGAAGATAGCACAACCTTTATGAAATCTACTTCAAAAGGATCAAGACTTTGACTTTAGTTCAAAATGCAAGGAGTCTTTCGATTCATTAAAGGAAAAGCTTATTTCAGCTTCAATTGTTCAGCCGCCAGATTGGAATCATCCCTTTGAACTTATGTGTGACACATCGGATAGTAGCATTGGAGCCGTTCTCGACCAAAAAATTGGAAAAGAGCCACATGTCATAGCCTATGCGTCCCGAACTTCGAACTCGACTCAGAAAAATTATTCGACTACAAAAAAAGAACTTTTTGCTATAATTTTTGCGTTAGAAAAATTTAGATCCTATTTGCTTGTCACTAAAATTATTATTTTTTCTGATCATGCAGCTATAAGGTATTTGATGAGCAAAAAGGAGGCAAAACCGAGGCTTATCTGATGGATTATGCTTTTACAAGAGTTTAACTTGGAAATTAAAGACAAAAAGGTATGCAAAAATCTGGTAGCGGATCACCTGAGTCGAATTCCCCTTTCCACATCCGACTCACCACTTAGAGAAGAATTTCCTGAAGAAAAATTGTTGGTGGCGCAAAGCATAACCCCATGGTTTTCAAACATGGTTAATTATTTGGCAACAGGTAAGCTACCATTAGATTTGCCGACAACTAAAATCAATCGAATTAAGTGAGAATCCCGATATTATATTTGGGACGATCCTTATTTATTGAAGCACTACTCAGATCAAGTAATTCGATGATGTATTGTCGAAAGTGAGGTAAACTCAATTTTATAATTTTGTCATTCTTACTTTTGCGGTGGTCATTTTGGACCAAAACGTACTGCTCATAAAATTCTTGAATGCGGCTTCTATTGGCCTAACATCTTTCGGGATTCTTATCTATTTTGTAAAACTTGTGAAAGATGTCAACGTACAGGTAATTTAAGACGTAGGAATGAAATGCCGCTTAATTCTATACAAGTTTGTGAAATGTTTTATGTTTGGGGAATCGATTATATGGGTCCTTTTACTTCGTCATTTGAAAATACTTATATTATTTTAGTTGTAGATTATGTTTCTAAATGGATGGAAGCTAAAGCCACTCGAAATAATGATGTTAAACCTACAGTTAATTTTTTGAATTTTTTTTTCCAGGTTTGGCACGCCACGAGCTATAATTAGCGACAGAGGAACACATTTCATCAATCAAGTAATCGAGTCGCTAATGAAGAAATTTGGAGTAACTCAAAGAATTGCTACCGCTTACCATCCACAAACAAATGGACAGGCAAAAGTATCAAATCGAGAAATTAAAACAATTCTTGAAAAAATTGTTAAACTGG